CGGAGGAGAGGAGGATGCAGAAGCAACAAGAGGAAGAGGAAAAGGAGAGAAAGGAGAAAGAAGAGCTTGCAGCCCATCAACACGCTGAACAGGAACAAGAAGAGAAGGAGCGTGAGGAGCAGGAAGCAAAAGATGAGGCGGAGGCCGATCTGCAGAAGAAGAAGGAAATGGAAGAAGCTGAGGGGAAGACTGTAGAAGAGGCCGAGAGGATGGCTGCAGAGGAAGCTACTCAGGCTGCCAAGAACGATCTGGCAGCTGCAAAGCCGAACCACCATCCTACTCCTCCAGCTCCCCAGGGCAGTGCTCTTGGGCGTTCTCGAGCTGCCGCAGGTTGTGGTAGGGATAATAGTAGCAGTTCAAGCGATAGTGGTGGCGGCGGAAGCTCGCCGCTGAGCTATGTACCATCCGACCCAGATTATAGCGGAATTTCCGATCCTATGGCTGGCCCTGGATATAACAGTAATGTGCCAGGCGGTATGGTTCCTTCAGGATCAGAGCGTCAAGAGCCCGTGAGCACTCTTGATGGAGGTAGGGTAGAAGGCATTGAAACCGGACAGACCGAGGGCGATGATATGGAGATCAGTGAAGCAGGACCGGCCTTTTCACAAACTCAGAACAACGATCAGCAAGGCTCCTTCATGGAAGGCATCGAAGAGCACAACCTTACTCAGGATCTCGGAAATGGAACTCAAGGAACGACTACTCCTGCACCGGTCGACCCAGGCAACGAAAACGAGATGGAGGGTGTTGAAGAGCAGGGCCGCTCTCAGGGATTTGGAAATGGAGCGCAAGAAAGGAAAAAGCCTGCACCTCTAGTGCTGAATCTACCAGCTCCCACTGGTCTAAGCATTGGAAACGATATGGATGGCGTTGGAAACATACAACTGACACCTGCAAATGTGGTACAACAACCGTCGCAGGCACCAACTTCCATTCCGAACTCTCTCTTCACATTCTCGAAACCGTCACCATTGGGGGCCTCTAAGCCTGCATCTGCATTTGGAAGTGGTACAACTACCCCTAATACCTTGAATTTCGGGGGTCAGTCGACCACTCCACAATTCAGTCCATCCACGAATAAGGATGGGCTGAATCCAGCCGACATGGGAAAGCTGAAAGAAGATCTGCTTTCAAAGTTCAACAGTCAACCAGGCGAGCCAGGTACACCTAAAATCTCATACGTCTTTAGCAACATGGAGAACCCATTCGCCTTTAGCAATGCAACCCCATTCGCTCACGGTAATGCAACCCTAACCTCTCCCGGCTATTCGAACCCACACTCTCTCGGCCATACACAAGGCCAGAATCATCCGAACGGCTCGACAGGTTTTCAACAGGGATGGAGTTGGCCGAAAATAGCTCCACTGGGTCAGGGGAGGGCTCCCAAATTCGACCCTAGTAAGTGGAGGAAAAGTCTTGACGAAGCTATGATCAAGGGGAATAAGAAATCCGTACAGAGTACATCAAAGACGGCTAGGAGTAATCCGGCCACCTCCTCCCCATCCTATCTCAACTTTGGTAGGCCCCGGAAGGGCCCTTCATACTATCCGACAACCGATGGGAGGGACGCGGATGGGAATAGTGTGCCCGTGTTTAAATCCCCCGACGGATCCGTGGTGTCTGGAAGCATAGGAGACATAGCGCCACCACCTTCCAGGTTTAACACTCCGACCAATGCTAGCGGACTGCGGCCAGAGACAGACCCAACAGAGAACAGCAAGTTGGATGACGATGTTGATCCAGACGTTGCTAGGGATATTATGGATGGGTTAGGGAAGGGTTGGGGCGGCGACGATGACGACGACGAAAACTCAAATACCCGATAACCATACAGGTCCTTATCGTGGCGGCCGCGAGGACCAGTCGATTCCGCAGAAGAAACAGAACAAGAGTAAAGCATTCGTTACGCCAAGTGATGATGAGTCGGAGTCAGATTCAAAGCAAGAGTTCGAGACGGTGGCTACGAACGCACAAACTCCGCCGCTACCGAGACTGAGACCCCAGTCAACCAAGGAGGAAAAGAGAAGCTGGTACTGGAGCTCGGATATGTAGCTGCTTTTGAAGAGGAGGAGGGGAATAGACTGGGGCTTGGTAAGTGGAGTTAGAGGCAGAGTAGAGCGGGAGAAATATTATGAGACAGTAGAGCATGCGGGGTGATTCAAGATGGCCGTAATAGGAAAACAGTGGAGGAGGAAAAGGATGGGAGAAGGTGGACGGCAAGGAGAGGGTTTATGGACATTGATTCAGCGTTTTCGTGTTTTGGGAATGCGGGGAGGGAAAAGCGTGGTTTGCTTGACTGTTTTTGAATTACGGCATCCTAGTTCTTTCCGCGAGCCGTGCATAGAGTAAATTCCAACCGCTCTTGAGGCAACGAATACAAATAAGGCTCTGGCAAGTAGATGGCGAACTGCGTCTGCTAAAGTGTTTAACAAAGCAAAATCTTTGTTTTCGAAAGCGACTCAGAGCAGTCTGTAGAGGCGAGAGATTGAATTTGGATCATATGTACTTATATTCAGTCTTAGCGTTCGACCCGTTGACTTGTGCTACCACAATTTCATGCTATAGAAGTAAATACATCAAATGCCAACTAAGGGTGCAGAGACAGAAGTCTGCACCTTATAAGAAAGCGTTGCCGTTCACGTGAGAGCTCACGCCACCTGAAGTTCACGATTAGTATCTGCAGTTGAAACGTGATAATGATGCGTACCTGGACAATTCGCGGGCGCAGATGAGAAAAAGAAGAACCACCGACTCTTCTCCCTACAGGTCTTGGCCAATTTCTCGAGATCTAGCATCTCGCCAAGTGGCATTCCCCAGAGTGCCAGGATGTACTCGTGTAGATGGTAATCTTGGTATTGTATTAGCAGGACTTCTTTCCAGCGATTTTCGGCGCCATTCGGGCACCAAAAGGATTCAACTTACTCTCATGTGTCGGCCATGCCTCGAAAGCAGGCGCATCACCCGCAACGGTCGCGAAGTAGCAGTCGTGAAGCCAATCCAGAATCTTCTGCTCCTGGCTCAATCCTGCATACCGCTGGCCATCTTCGCCATCTTTGCCGCTTCCGTGTCTCAATGCGGCCTTGGCGCGATCGTCTGGGGACTTCGAATCGTAGGCCTCCTTCCATCCACTCCGCACGAAAAGCATGTCTCCAATCTTGATGTCACCACCTTGTGCGCCGGGCCGAATATCGACTCCTTGGTCTTTTCCGCACTGATATAGCTCTTCCCAAGAAATTGGGTAGTAGTCGTACGGATCGTAGTTGATGCCCTTCTTATGAGCGTAGCCTCGGTAATCTAGGAGAATACCACGTCCAGCGATACCATGTTCAGCCCAGTGGTGCATAGAGCACTTGTGGTTCGCGCTGGGGCCGATGATGTCGGAGCCCTTGGTCTGATCACGGGTTAGATCCATGGGGGTCTTCAAAGCAAGGGTCCACTCACGCCGTTGTAGAAAGAGCCTGACTCCATATGCGCGAACTGCAACACTATCAGCCTGTTCCAAGGGAGATGAATACAAGTTCGTGATTTTCATACATGTCGGAAACCATCCCATTGCGTACCACTCTGGGTATTCATGTGGTAAATGTCGTCATACGCCAGATTCTCCGCGAGAACTTTGATCTCGTGCGTAAAAACCTCGCGACCGAAAGCAGGCTGGTTGGGGGTATCTAGGGGCATGCTACTTTGTGTCAGACAAGCAAATCTCTGTGAACCGAGCTGCTACGTACTTTACGGGAATTATTTCGCCTGTCTTGATCTCTTTCGCCGCTGCTGCAACCCGCGTAGGAGTCAGTAGGTTTATGCGCCCGATCTGTGGCATTGTCAGCTCTGCATCTATTAGAACGGCCCAGAAGTGTCACGAACGTAGTCGCTATCCCCCCAAACCCAGGCCGCCTCCGCTGGAGCTCCAGGTATATTGGGAAGCGCTTGTCGCGTAGGGAACTTTGTGCAGTCAGGGTCCCATGGAATCGTTGTGGCCGTTTTGTTCATTGTCAAAAAGTCTTTGATCTGCGTCAGTCGCTGATTCGCAGTATTCTTTGGCTCGGCCATGTTTGTGACGGTGGTGGTATTGATCAAATCTCGTTGATGTGATTGAAGCACTGAGGTAGCTAGCACTTTACAGAGCGAACATTGACTGAGGTTCCATGGCAATATAGGACCCACATACCCCGCGACCGCTCCCGCACTATGACGAACACCCCGCATTTCTTCGCGTTTGATGCATTGCTCCAGGCCGCACCGAGGCATGGAGACTTGCTGTCGGAGAGCCTAGTCTTCTGACTATCGTGCGATGACTCGTTCGACCAATCATAGCTGCGACTCGGTGTGGCTTTTTAAGCACGATGTGAATGTGTTCCCAGCAGCGCGGATATCCTACTGGTGGCACAATATAAGTTAGTTGACAACGCGGACGAGATTGAGTTTGCGATTCCGGGTGAGCATCATGTTGTTTCCGCGGCTTTTGGATCCCGTCATCGTTTGTGGCATAGATACCAAAGCCAAGCGTTCCCGGTTTAGCGCGCCATCTTCCCCATCTAAAGTCTTCACTCCTCTTTGCGCTAATTGAATTTGACGCAGATGCAATGGAATGCAAAGGCAGGATCTCTCATGGGCCAGTGTCTACACAAAGGGATACTTCACTTGGAAACGAATAGGTAGGCAGCCTTTCTACATACTTGATAAAGTGAATAGAAGGTTTTCTAGACACCATGACTGCTAGACGCTCCCCAGTCGGGAGCCTAGGCTATGTTCTTTGGTTCCCGCAAACTCGTTTCCGTGCTTGACGTTCTTCTATCGGACGCCAAGCCAGCGATTTGACAAGTCGAATGGGGAAAGAGCGCCCCGCCCCACCACTCAGGCCCCGAATCCGCACCAATCATCGACGAAGCATCGCAATTCATGCCCAATTCGCTTCAGGTGTCGCAAAACCAAGATACCACACGATTTTTATCGTTTTCTTTACTATATATACCGTGCAAGTTGAAGGAACGTCATTCATTGCCCGCTTGGCTTAGTGGTACAGCGTCTCACTCGTATTGTTTATGTGATGAGAAGATCCTCGGTTCGATTCCGAGAGTGGGCACAGGATTTCTCTTTTGCGTTTCGTTCCTTTTTGCTATTCTCAACTTCGCACGTAGATTCGCCCACTTTTTGCGTAAAGGAGTGGATAGCGTAGACGAGTAAAATCTACCCAACACCGAGAACATGACACTAGCTACGGAATGCCCTGCTCCTGCCCTCTCGCCTGTGATAACCAAAACCTTTGACGCATTGTATTCTCTCCAGTGCGTGGCGTCTGACACCTAGAACACAGATGTTCTCTCGTCTCACCGAGGTTATTTCGGCTCAAAGAGTAAGTTTCCTCAAAGTTCATTCGTTACGCATACTTGACCTTGGAGGTCGACAACGGCCCTTGTCCACTATTCTCTTCCTTCCTTCTTATTCTCCCATTTTCTCAAGAATTTGTGAAGCGCATCGCTATGTATTGCATGTCTTACGCTCGCCTAACAAACCACCTAACGCCATTTACTAATATCTGGGCAACACAGACTGGCTCGACATGGCCGCCTGATGAGAAATCCAAAGTAAATCGCACGTAATTCTTCCCTCGGCCCTTTTCGCACTCAGGAGCGAAGCGATAATATCTGAAGTCGAGGCTGTGCAGAGCCGCGATGCCTAGTACGTAGGCAATATACGGGGATAAATTATTTGCGGCCTAATTCTCCGAAACGACATGCACGAATACCCTTTCGGAACGTCATCGATCCCGAGGTTTGGTAATTACAGGGAGGAAACAAACAGCAGTTGCCGAATTTAATTGCCTCTACCCTTCGCTTCACATGCTCGGGTTAACGGCCCCCAGACTTTTAATCTATCCCCACATTCGACAAGCCCCGTTAACGACCTTCATCCACATAGTCATCTAGCTCGTGCTCCCCAAGGAAGTCATCCAGCAACTCTGCCACCTTGTCGTTATCCGAATCTGCAAATGGGATATGCGAGCTACCCTTTAATCCCGCATCGTCTCCCAATTTCAACACCGTGGCATTCCCGCCATACTGATTGATGAGCTTGGCTGCCAGACGCGACTGCCGAACATATTCATAACTGTCGCTCCGGTGATCACCCCAGACAAATTGGATGGATGCCAGCTTTGTCAGCTTTTTGAACCGCTCGAGAGGAACGACGAAAGGACCAAAGCCGCCTTGACCGGCAGTCACATTCGCGGTGTCTGGGAAAACATATCCGATGCTTTCGTACGTGACAATGCCTTTGATGTTCGTGCCGTTTGCCTTGGTGGCGGTCATCATTGCTCGAAGTCCGCCTGCTGAGTTCGTGAGGTACACAATGCTGTTTCCCAGCTTCCCGGAGTCGGCTGCGATGGAAGCAGCATTTGAATGCAATTCGACGTTCTCTTTGGTATCATACTCGACATATCGAGCGCTCGTTGCTTGTTGCCACGCCTCGGAATCTTGTGTCGGGAACTGTACGTCTGGCCACCAGACTCCGAACGAAGGGCCCAAGTTCCACGCAACAAAATTCGACTGATCTTGGTATGAGGGGAGGTACGACGTGGGTTCACATGCCCAGTTGGCGCGGCCTACTCGCGGACCATCCCATATGTACACCGGGTAGTTGCGGCGCAGAAACATGTCCTTATAGCCTTCACCACCACCCCATCGATTTTGCCATACCTGCGAGCTCGAGCTGTGCCACATGATAAGGCTAGTCTTACGTGGTCGCCATGGGTGAAAGTACTCCACGTATCCATGGTCGCAGGAGAGGGTCCGGTTGGGAAAGGTGGGATGGCTAATGATCTTGCCTCCGATTTGAAAGCCTCCGGACTTCTCTAGGACGATTGGGCCTCGGGACTTTGAGGTTTCAGAAAGTGCTCCAGGACCAAAGACAACGAGAGCCAAAGCGAGTATAGGTAGAAACATTTTGAAAAGATCTATTTCGTCGTTTGTGCTTGCTCACCCCAGACTTCCTTCTTCAACATAATTTCTCACATCGCTGCCCCACTTCAAAGTCGATGAGCAGGATCTGAGCTTTTGTATGCTATGGTATTCTGTCCCACGTCCCCTCACGCCGAGATGTAAGATTCCCTCATTTCGAGGTCATTCTTCTATCGAAATTTTGCGATCGTTCGGCACCCAGTTGCGGCCCCCGATGTTGTGGGGCGCTCTGTATGACACGTTCAAACCTTCAGGTAAATTTTGTTCATAGAAGGCTATGAAGAATCCTCCATGTGAGACGGTGGTCACGATACTCCTTTAGGAAAGACGGGAAACTACGCGGAATGTCGTGATAGGCGGCACTTATTCCCAGGATTCGGTTGGGTCTTTTACCAAATTGCCGGGCGCAGTCACTCACGCCTCAAATTCAGCCGTCGGATAACGTCCGCTTTTTGGAATCTCAGGCGCGCTCAGAGTTCCCGACCGTTGAATGCTATTCTCCGATTTATAAGCCTCAAGCGATGAGCGAAGAGCGATGAACGAATAGCGAGAAGCGGATGATTTTGATTTTGCACGTGCGCGTGAATCCAGCATGGGTAAACGGACGACCGAGCAGATTCAAGTCTGAACGCGATCGTTTGTTCCGTACGGCAAATTTAGACCAAGACACGGTATTCTAGAGAAGTCGGCTTTTTGCTCAGGATATACTATTACTAGGTTTTGGCGAGGTATTTCAAGTACATGACCGAGTTGGTGACGCATTTTTGGAGTGAATGGTTTGAAGACTGCCTCGGTGTCCATTCACTGGACCCGAGTAGAATCCCATCATGACGATTTTGAACCTTCAATCTCGGCGCCCTTGAAGATGTTGTACCCTGATATAACTTGGTCTCAATCGAATTGACGCTGAGAAGAGGTTCCCCTTTTTAGGCCGGGAGCGAAGTTGATTCCCGAGAGCCGTTCGAAAACTATGTACCTGATATATGGTTAGATGACCCGCCGTCGATTTTGCATTTTGTGGTAGATCCGTTTGGACCACAGAAGCTTCGTGTTGGATATACTTTGCCCAAGGGATTGAAATCTATAGCACCTTAGATTGAAGTTATATATCCCAATGTACCGTATGTTGTGCATGAATCTCGGAGCAGTTCATTCAAAGCTGAGATCGACCGGGAGGCCATGCTGAAGCTTTTCGTTAAACTTCTTGAGGTCGTGCTATTGAGCCATCAAGTTTGTAAAGAAGCCATGACGAAGCCACGACCTAGGGTCGCTGTCCTAAATCGATTGGTCCGGACGATGATAATCTACCAAGTGTCTATTTCTTGCGATCTTTGTGATCTTTAGACCATCCATAAAATCCATGTTGCCGTGATACTTGGCCATTCCGGTTCAGGGATTTGACTATATGACAATCTCGCATTGCGTAGTGCTCTGAGTAGTTTTTGTTTCAACTCCGTCTCGCGCTTCCTCGTATTTTCGTGATAACTCCGTGATAACTCTCGAGACGCAGCAGCAGATTTGAACTCAAGAGGATAAAATTTGGCACGCAGTAGAAGGAGCCGCAGGTTTTAGGCGTGGAAGACTGTGTACCGCAAGTCTTGGCTACTAACACAGTCGCGGAGAGGAGCCGACCACTTAAGCGATATCAGCCGGTTCACAAGCCGCCCACTAGAAAGGCATCATCTCCGTCCTAACGGATAATTAGTTCAGCTCGAGCGTGTGCGTGCGCGAACTGGGACCAAGGTAATTCTTGAGAACCCCATACGTCTTGCAGGTGTCAATGCGCGGATATCACCTTTTCTTCCCATTCAGCCTGGTTTTTCAGACAATTCCGGTACTGGGCGTTTGCGGCTTCCGGCAAGTATCACAAACCTAGGGAATTGGCCCGAGATAGCCGCGCATCTTTGACAGCCTCGATAACGATTTCTTTATCTACAGCATCTTTCAGGTGCAATGAATTGTTTGCGTCCTATCTTCTTGGTATAATTGCTCCGGGTACTTCGTTTCTCGTCTCTTCGTCTGCGCGATTGCATTACCTTGAAACCACATTTCAAACAACATAAGTTTCTCCAAGTCCTTCCACTTCGGTAATGTCCTCCATTGCCCGTTTTCGTCAAGACTCTCTTCCATCTTTTTCCATTCATCCCTTAGAATACTCTCTCTCGTTTGACTACGCGCAGTTATCTTGACTGCAAACTCAGTCGGATGCACAGCCAGCCCTTCAGTCAGATCATCGGGATCGGGGAGTATTTTCCGCCCGTCTGTGTCGACTGGTGGCTAGAAATCGAATGCCCACAGCAATCGCGCCATGGCAAGGAACAATGAGCGCTCAGCTACGTGTATACCCTGACATACGCGACGCCCAGCGCCAAATGTGAAGTGATCACGTTTCGTTACATCGCCATTCGAGGCTTCCTCAGAAGTTGTCTGATAGTTATTGCTATACCGCGTCGGATAGAAAACCCTGGGATTTGGATAACGCTTCTCGTCATTGTGGAGGGCCTTGGTGTCCGTTACTGGAGAATCCAGGAAGACATAAGGTTGGAGCGGTGTACCCACCACACATCCCAAACCACCCCAGCTCCTTTTGGTATCTTATATCCCATGTATTCATCATCTCGGATGACGCTATGGGGAGCCCCTAAAATAGCCGTTGGCATCTATCGCATACTCTCCTTCACGCAGCCCCGGATATACTGCATATTTGGCTCGTCGTCAAGCGTAGGGAGACGTTCGCCGCACACGCGATCTATCTCAGCCTGTGCAGCCTTTGTGACCTCTGGGAAGAGCAGCATTGCTTGCATCCAGCCATTGAGCGTGTTGTATGTTGTATCCGATCCGGCTTCCAGGAGTGATCCACTGATTTATGCTGCCAAATCATCGGAGAACCCTTCGGTTTCTTGGGACTTTATCAATTCGACGCAGATGCAAGGCTAGAAAGACGGTGAGAAGAATTAAAAACTGACATTCGCAGGTCTCTTACATTTGCAGTCCCGTTCTTGGCAGCCTTCTTCACACCCAACCAATGTCCAAGATACAGCTCGCTCTCCTTCTCGTGGAACTCTCTCGCGCGCTTCTTGATTGGAAGAAGAGCCTCGGGCAAAGGCTTGAGGAACGGGAACGCATC